GATGAACAGCGTGTGGGCGCTATGTAACGGTAAGTGCGCGCGGCGTTTTCGAAATGTATTTATGTTACGCGCGCGCGCACGAGCGAGATATGGGTTCAGCGCGTTTATATTATTATTTCACGAGCGAGCGTGCGTAAGAAAACACTTGAACCGCCGGCCGATGACATCTCGTCAATGATTGGCGAAAAACAATTCGAAACAAAACGTTGTTCGAAACGAATGCTATTATTATGCACGCGCGTTTGGTCTTACAACTCGTGCTCCGGTGCTCGGCACGAAAGTCCCACGAGGGGGAGAGGCGAGCTGCAAGTATTTTTGACGCGACAGTACTACGGTCGACGTCTCGTACCGCCCGTTGTACTCGAGTAATTCGGTTGGATTAAATAATGTTGTCGGTCATTATCATTGTCGCGGGTTACAACGCGAACACGTCATTATTAATATTACCGCATTGTACGCGCGGAGACCCGTCGTTTTTGAGCGCGAAAAACATTAATTTTCGATTCAATTAACGCGACATTATTGTTATTCTTTTTGTGCCGACGCCGCTCGCACAACGTGAATTGTTTAGGTGCTGTTTACAGCACGTACGAAAACTGCGCGACATGATGACTCGTCGTCCGCAGCGCACTTTAACCGACTGTTGATTGTCGCCCGAATTAACGTGTGAAAATAATCGTTTGATAACTGTCCAAACGATGTACGCTGTGCACTTGGCATCGACAGTGTTCCTCCGAGCGTACAATGTACGCGCGGTAGGTAGTAGGTACGTGTTACTTGCATTATTTCTTATACTTACGTTCACGCGGACGACTGCTGCAGCAAGGACAACTAGAACATCGCGAGAACCAATTCGCCGTCGGTCGTCGCCAATACGTGTGTAACAATAAATAACGCTATGCGGAGGATCATAGGACTGTCAATAAAAATAATATTATTCGTCCGTTGTGTTGCTGCACAATGCGACAGACGAAGAGAATTTCGCTCGCAGAGAACGCGCATGTATTATTATTATTGTTATTATCTTTTCGTGCAGACGTGTAGCAGCGTAATATCGCGCCACCGTGTAGGCGTGCGTTCAAGTCTCCTCCACGGTCGCGGACGGGTCCAACGACTTCTAGTTGTCTGCGGGATTCGTAAATAATGGATTCCGACTAATGGTGTACACAACATATCGTGTCGATAGATCCGTTTTACGCACCACGTTGCCACGGTGTGTACTTTATATAGTATTTTCATTATTACATTATTATTGTGCAGTACATGTATACCGTACTCGTCTGGAGGAGTATAGAATTATGTCTCCGTGGTGATAAAGGACTACCACCAACAGCTATTGTCATATGAACATATAGATTCTACAGCAGTTGATGGAACGGATGATTGGAAAAAAAAAAATGAAACGTACGTTAAGATGTTTCCCGAACGAATTTGTTCTGTCCGTTTTCGACGGTACGCCGATCGGTTTTATGCGCACAGTTTGAAATCACTAAAACTGTTGTACAAATATGCTGTTTATGTGTACATATTAGCGATAGGATTGCGTTTATATAGATATTCGCAAAAACTTTTACAGTACGTACGTATTTGATCAGTTTATTTACTCGCAATTCAATGTTTGAAGTGACGGCAAAGCGACAAAAAAAAAAAAAAAAACTATACCGCAGGCAGTATATCATGTGTATACCGACGTTCTTCGAGGGGGGGAAAAAACATTAAGAAATTGTACACGCAATTAGTGTATTTTACGACTGCACATTTCCACACATACTATGTTCTAGTGGTAACCGAGACGAAACCGCAACCTATATAATCACTACGTATGAGGCTCAATGTTAGTACATGTACAATTGACATGGGACAGCTAACCAAAATACGATACAGATATACGTGCAAAGTGATAAAATGTCCGAGTACTATTATGCATTTGTGTTGCGTTGATCATCAAGTGCGCATGATGGTAATTACACGTGTACCTGTATGCAAATACGTTTCGTTATCCGCATGGGTGCAATGTTTATGTTTTTCCCGTGTACAAAATGTGTATGTACAATCGACGAGACAGTACGCGAACACCACGGTGTTCGCGCAGTGCACGGATTGTTCGTTTCTTCTTCTATGTCATCTATGCAAAATAATATATTATTATACACATTGACGGAGAGGTTATTGTAATACGCTCAAACGAATATATGAAACCACAAACGTAGTACATCCATTTCGTGACTGGACTTCGGAAAGAATTCATACCCCGAGGACACAAATACATCACATGTTGCGCGTGCGCGAGTTGGAAAATTTTATCAAGGTTGCCAGGTTTTTGATAACGTATAAACGATATTATTATAATGAATCGATACCATCAACACTGCAGTACAACGCTAAATTATCTGCTACGGCTTTTTTCGCGTCATTTCGAAAGTAGGTACACTGTACCTGGTACAGTACTAATAAATGTTTATTCGTAACTTCCGATGATAATCGTGTTGGCGAGTTTTTGCATATAACTTACGTTACATCTCAAAGACACGCAATTCCTACGTTATAACGTTACTCGTACGTGAGCGTACCCTTTCTCACGTATAAAGTATAAATACTCCAACCGCAACACTTTTTTCGAAACGATTATGTTGGTTTTCGATTAATGGTTTACCAAGCGTGGTAAATTATTGTTGTTAGAAAACCCTTCGCTAAACAGTTTTCACTGATTTCTTAAGTACAGGTGTTACACAGGTGATGTTATATGCGTTAAATACATAGTTAAGTTGAAAGTGACTATATTTACACTTATGAGTTTAATCATATACTTGCTCACAGCTAATATCGTATAATATCATAACGTGTATTGGAATATACTAACAATACTATACGATTTGATTAAACCAAGAAATATTTTCCAGTAAAAAAAAAAAAAAAAAACCAAGATTATTTAAAACGAAAAAATATAAATAATGCGAATGTTCACGTTATCATATTTATGTTTCAATCAGGTTTCAAATGAGAATTTATATGGTATTTGCCGTACTTGAAAAAACAATTATTAGTAAAAAATATCGCCGTCATGTGAAAATTGTTGTTTTACGAAGAAATTATAACTTAATGGACACGAAATGTTATTCGACGGACAAGAAGAAACGTATACTATGTACCTACATTTAATGGTAAATCAAAACAGTCGCATAATTTAAACAAAACGACAACTTAATAACTAGATTTTTATGCTAAGTGCCTTTCCAAAACGTATACTTTATAATGCATGCCCAAATAGGATGACACCTTAACGGTGCGCGTTCCAGCGTTCCGTCGTCTATCATTAAAGTATTGTTGTCCGTGTCTCCACCTCTATCTGCAACGTCTGTCGTGACAATGGCAAATACGCCGTTAAACATTACTTGTACATATATACGTGTATGTTTTGCGCTGTTTTTCATCAAATAATAAATACGCGATGTACAAGTCTCACTGGCCCGCTGCAGACCCTACTGAGCGGAATTTGACACGGATAATTTTTATTATTATGACACTTAAAGAGTTATGAGGTCACACTATATATACAATGTACCTGCGTTATTGTAAATATAAGTCGTCGACAACGTTATTATACTTACACGTTGTACTTTGGTGCGGTTGTCGCATCGATCACATTTCGGTCGTAAACGATAGTAAACTATTTTACCGAATTGTGGAGAACGTAAAGGTCAACCGCGTGGCCATGGATTGATTCGTACAGGAATCCGTCGAGTGAAAGTATCCGCGGGGTTCGTAGAAGGTATGTTCCGATCGGACTCCGGTCGATGTTTTTCGTGGATCAACGTTGCAGCGATCTTGTACCATGGTAGTGTAACAAATGTAACAATACGAGTGAACAGTAAAATATGTAACGTAGAGCGTAAAACGTAAACCGATCGACTGCAGACACGTTTAAACGTTTAAACGTTTTATTCGCGTACCGGAGCGCTCGTATGGAAATATATGTAATATATATAACTGCGGGTTTTTCGACTTGAAATCCTAAATGCCCATTCGTACCCCCGGCAATGATTATCGAAGAACAATAAAGCGGTGGGATCAGTATACAACAACACCGCGGAACGTATTCATGCGTATAAGACCTGTTGTACACACGTGTACCCGACAGCCCTTCCCTAGCCGATCACAAGTTTATGTTTAGTATCTAACATCATTAGTTTTAGGGAGTCCATTGTGCGCGATCAAGCAAACCTTACGGTACACGGTTATGGGTACACAGAATTGTGATTGATATTATGTTGAACTGTCAACGTGTTACCGCATTCACTTCCAAAACGCTGTCGCCTAACCTCAATAATATAACATTGCAGTGGGGTTTATTGAAATCGTGTATACGTATTGTGTAAGATAATTTGTGGGTAAGAATGTGTGTGTGTGTGTGTGTGTGTGTGATTGTTCACACAAACGTCCTTCGTATGACGCGGCAGTGACCTTCAAAATCGTAAATATTCCAGAGTCATAAACAAACGGTTAACAAGAATACGTACGTAGTAGGTATGCGTGTAGGACCTCTATCCTACACCAGTATATACATACAATACATGTGTTCAATGTTGCACAATGCGTGTTCGTATCATTATCCTATGGTAAAGCTGAGTAACCTAGTTTAAGGATCATCTAAATAAGCATTATGTATCTGATGTTCTTATGCAGACTATAGTCATGTACGGTATTTACACAATATTAATAATGTATGCACTTCAAAAATAAAAAAAATTGATTATTACACGTTCACGAAAATCGTGAACATTTACATTGGCCAATGTTCTTGAATTTAACAAAGAGTCGAAATCATTTTAAAAGCGTTATTTACGTTTTATTCAAAATTCGTATTCAGTTTTATAAACATAATACATTTAACTGTGTGACACTATTTACAAGGGTTAATGTTTTTTAATAGTATTTCATAAAAAAATCGTATAATATTTTACAGAGGACTAACTATGACTTTGTTCTATATGTTGATTTAGGCTTATCAAGAAGCAGTACAGAGTAAACGAGACATTCGCGAAGCACTCGAAGAAGCCAATCACAAGTTAGTACACGTAAACAGTACTGGACCAAGAATAGTGCATCAAAGCACCAAAAATAAAAAAGTCACAGATACGGAAGATACAAGACATACAAGAGAAGTTCAAAAAGACGGAAAAATCGTTACTGAAACATCAAAAACTACTGAACATGAGGAGGTAATGTATAATATCGGTATAGAGTCATATAACAAATGATACATACACTTTTATCCATTCTAAAGGTTATCTGTTTAAAATATTTTACATTCTAAATCGAATATCGAATTGAGAGTAAAATTCATTTTCATGATAAAATATTAATTTTTTAACACAGATATTTAAGAAGCATTACAATCATTGACATCGTACATATTTATAAATTTACTGATCACGATACTATACAAGTATAAAAATCACTCGAAAACCAATAGTACAATTATAAATAAATTCTTTGTGAGCACTAGACGAGTTTTGTACTTTACTCGAAATCGATATGTAAAAATATTGCTTTTGCGATCGTTTATGAATAATTGTTGCATGATGCCAACAAATTGTACCACTACCATCTAGTGCGCGTACACGAGTTTGGTATATTCACACAACAAAAGTATCAATACTCGTACAGCTTTCTTTTGTAATAAAAGGTACTTGGCACTTGTTTTGGAAATCGATTTAATATTTTGAAGTTAATTCAATATTGTACCGTCGAAGTATGCTACTAATATTTTATTCGCCAACTGTAACATAAATGTAATGTGATATCGGGAATGGTTTGTTTAATTTATTTCGACGACCGATGCGCTCGGTTTTCAAATCGTTACCGTCGAAAGTTACGTCTCGCGTTTTCTAATATTATTGGCTCTAACGAGGTGCGTGTGTTGGCACGCGCGTTTTATAGGTAAACGGAACTGACGAACCGGACAGTGTACCACTGCCGCCATCGGCACAACACGAGTCGTTGCGCGAGAGCTCGCATCGGTACGCCAAGACCAAGGACCAAGAGTTGGTGGAATATCTGGCGGACGGCGAGAAGATCGGCGAGCAAATGCGCTACGAGGCGGTCAATGAGGAAGGCGATCGGCTGGGCGACGTCGATCAACTGCGGATGATGGCGAACGCGGGCGAGTTGGCCGGCTGGGACAGCTTGTCGGAGAGGATACGCAAGATGCGCGATAAACAGCAGCAGCAGCAAGCACCGGTGGGTGGCAAAACGCTCGCGGACTTCGACGAAGAGGAACGCACCAGGAAGGTAAGTGTAAGAATGGACCGTCGGCGGTGTCGATGGACTTTTTATCGAACGAAACGATGTCCGTTGCGTCGCAACAAATCGACTATTCATTAAAGATTACGTTTTATCGCCGCACTTTTTCTTGACAGGTGGAAACGGCCAAGTGGCTGGAACACCATTTCGGCAGCGAGTCCACTAGATCGTCCACGGGCAATTTGTCCGACGAAGAAGAGGACGACGACCGCGGCGGTCGTCAGAAGACCACGTCCAACAGTTTCATCAACGTGACCATGAAGTCGGCGGAGACGTCGTCGCCGCCGCCGCCACCGCAGCCGGCCAACGGGTACTTCAAAGGCGTGTCCGAGTGGAAGACGAAGGATCCAATACCCGTCCGGCCGCCGGTGAGGAGGAAACGGGAGCAGCGGAAAACCGAGATCGTCAGAACCGCGTCGGCGACCAACGAACTGGAGTCATCGCCGTTGTTCAATTCGGTGCAGCAGAGGGTGCAGGGATATGAAATGACAAAGGAAAAGTTGTCCGGACGGAACGCAATCAACGGTTACACCACTCAGTCGCATCACAACGGATACGTTCAGGTGAGATGATTACCGCTCATCGCTACGCACGCCAATATGCGTATGTACATCGATCCTCATTTCAAAATGTGCACCGTACGTAAACCGAGTAACAGTTTTACTCGTGTATACGAATTTGTAACCGAAAAATAACAATAACAGTAATAATAATAATGACGGAATGATATAGCATTCTCGACACGCACGAACCCCTAGATCATTAGCAGGCGCTATTGAACGTAATAAATGACAGTACAAATAAACGATGTACTACGAGTGGTTATTGTTCCTGCGTATTTACGGTCGGCCGCCCTACCATATATCGATCGACCCTACGCATAGTTTAGGATACAAATATTTTAAAAATGTATTTATCGATTGAAATTTGATATGGAAGCCAATAGTGAACCTGGAGATTTTTATCTCAAGTAAAAAAATATACTGTAACACGAACCACACCCCGAAATTTCAGATGGGCAAACACAAAGTCATATCGGTGTCGTCACTCAATAAAGGAAAACTTAATCAGTCTTATTTCCAGTCGTATATCGTTGATAACGTATACTACTACTCTTAAGCGCTACAGGCAATGATGGCTCTTGCCTTCCAAAACAACTCTTCTCCACTCGTCTCCGTCTTTAGTTACATTTCTTTAGTTCTGTATACCCATCAGTTTTAGATTTTTCTTTACTTTAACCAACCACCTAACCATTTTTTTATTTACTAGTGATGTATCCTTTGTTTTTCAGCATTAGCGTATGCGTTTAAGACATTCAAAATTATATTTTCGTACCAAAAATTATCATTCAAAATGATCAAAACAATATATCTATTAAAACATTTTTCATTATTAAACATATTACATTTTAAAATTGAACTGTAAACACATACAATTATATTATAATAAAAAGTACAATACATATAACTGTCATATTTAGAAATAAATAATATGATACATAAAAAGTTTATTTTAGTATTCGTTCAGTATAATAATTGATGAAAAATTGTAATTGTTGAAAGTAAATTTCACTATCAAGTCTTATGAGTAATATTGGTTAAAAATTATTTTAAAATTAAAACTAATTTTTAATAAAAATATTATGAAAAATAATAATTCCTTATTTTTCATAATATTATAAAATAAACTCTTGTTTTTTGAAAAACATAATTAATATTTATATTATAAAATTTATATTTAAGTATTTTGCTGTAGATGATGCATAATATAATTTTAAATTTAATTAAAAATAATAAACAAAGTAAAAACTATGTATTAAGAAGTTAAATAATTCATCATAGAAACTTAAAAAGATATCCAAATAAAATATAAGTACTCATTTTAATAATTTTTTAAAACATCAATATAGTGATGTAGAAGTATTATTGTTATTTATTTATTTTTAATAGTTAATTGTTACTACTATCCGTCATCATTTCTTGTCTTCTAATCCACTAAAATTAACTTATATTTTAATCATGAAAAAAAAAACAAACCATCCAATATAATTTAAAAGTAAATAAATTCATAATATATATGTGTTTATACAATTTTTTTTTTCGACTATAGTTTGTATAATATTATTTATTCCAGTAGTAATTTAACTAAATAATTTTATTATTATATACGATAATCTGTTGGTAACATTTTGTTTGGATTTTAAACACTTAACATTTGATATCATGATTATACATAATAAGTTTAAACGTACGAAATACAAGAGTTTCATATTTAAAATAATTTACATTGTTTCATTGCTCGTTTTAAACGTCAGTATAATTAATCAATCCTATGCAGTGTACCAAATGAAAATACAATGAAATAAGACGATTCTTTCAAACTATTATAACCTTAATTAATTTATAATAATGGGTACTTAGGTAGGATTAATCGCACGACTAACAACATAGTAAACATTATTATACATTTAAAAATAAATTTGACATCATGATCATTGGATATAATGTGTTATGAGACAAAGGTTAATAATTATAAAAATCATATATTATTGACACATATAATATATTTATTAACCGTTACAAATATAAGTTCGTTGACGCTTCGGTATTCGTGATTGTCGAGAAGTTTTTCAATGAAATCATAATTTCTTACGATAAACTTGTATTTAAAACGAAATATTTTTTTGTGAACTATATACATTCAGTTAAATGTGTTACAGTAATATATCAATAGACATTTTTTTTTCGATTCATTACTTTTTTAATCTTACATACCGTTCGTTTCGTTTCGCGTCTACATTCAATAAATTGTTCCGTTTGTTCCCGCATCATACAAACAATATAATATAAAAACCACGTGACATTTATACGTCTGTAGTCTGATCGTTCACTACACCGTACCTATGGTACGTATACCTATATAAATATATGTATAATACTTGGCGGGTAGACAATAGTTCTTATATGAATATTTCCGTGCAAGAGAGCATAAAATATTATACTATAGCTGCATACCATATATTTTCACGTAGCGTTGTGCCCGATTTAAACGTGAAAAAAAAAATCCTAAAAAACAAAACATCACGGTCGTATCCATCAAAACGTTACGATTTAATTGTACACCACGAGAGTGGCAGCGAGTGAGGTCTCTATACGGAGGAGGAGCAAAAGAAGAAGGATGACTGCGACTTTCTCGAATGAAAAATAATCAATCGTGCCGTCGGTACACGTAAATTGGTAAAAAAAATAATAACGATAATAATCAAATAACGAAACAGTAAATAATAACGCTTTTGTAATGGTTTACTTCACGTACTGATATAATTCTAGGCATAGTTCCCCACAACTTCACATTATTATTACTTTAAAAATTATTTCTCTAATTTAGTCCGGTACCGGCCACCCGTCTACATTATGCAATCATGTAAAAATGTCGATTTTTTCTCTATCTCGTTCTACGTTTGAAGTTTGAATTTTTACATTGTATAGTTGAAATCATTAATATTTTTTTTATAAGCGACGTTGTTTCCCGTGGTGTATATTTTGCGGTTTATTTGCTTAAATGATAAACACATAAAAATTTAAGAATCATTAAATACTTTAATAAAAAAAATACCACGAAACTGATAATTACGGCATTTCTATACTTATGACTAATTATTTACTAAAAATCAGTGCTTAAGGTTAGAGAAAATTACATTATTTGTACTTTAAGAATTATTTTAATAATGAACGACGATGGTTATAGTTATAATGATCTAAGAGAATTTCAAACTCGTTTTCTCAAAACTATTCTCCGGCAGGATTGATCTTCGGATTAACTGAAACTATACTAATCCAAATGAAATCACTTATCTACCATAAGACTGTTGTACTCGATTCCCGGTTGATCGACTAGTACTGTACAAATTGGTATCGACCGTAAAATTCTGCTCAAAATCTCAGTTATTAATTTCTCGCCATTTTATACGGGCTTAGGATCACCCCCAGAGTATCTAGATATGATTAATATATTACTAACTGCTAGCCAGTGATACAAGCAACTTGTATTAATATATAAATAAATAAACAAATTGTTTTGTGTTTAAAAATAAATCAATAAAAGCTTAGCTTGGAGTATTATTATACCTGTAAATCACGATCGGTTAGGAGTTAGAAATTCATCATCAGGTGCGTACAGAGTTGATGAAATTGCGATTGAATACGAAAAAATAAAGGGAAGACGATGGGCACTGAGGAAAACTAGACGTTTTACACAGAGATAATTTATTCGAATATTTTTTACGGGCATTGACCGTTTATTAATATTAATTTAATTTTTTGTTATTTTCATTGAATTGTATCACATCGAATAGGTGACGGCTCGGCTTTACTGGCTAAGCCGACGATTGTTATAACAATCAAATTATGCGTGCCGAGGAAAAAAATAAAAAAATAAAAATTAACAACACGTTATGATAAACGAAAAATCCGACCCGGCCGTTTCGCACTCGTAGTCGTCCCTCCGAAGTGTGTATTCTACGAATATGTGTCTAAAACTCGTCCGTTTATTGTGTTCGCAGTCGGATCGTACCACTCCGGACAGACATTCCAAGGCGGAATCGCCGGCGCCGGACCCGTACCGTTCTTGGGACCACCGGAGGCGGCGGTCGGCGGACAGCAATCACCATCAGCAGCGGTCGGCCGTGGCGCCGGAACCGAAACCCGACTACTCGCCGGAACCGGAGCGCCGGGCCAGCAACGGGTCCGCGGCGGGACGGTCCAAGAAGGTGTACCAGAAGACGAGGTTCGCGGCGGACGCGGCCGCCAGACCAGCGTACGTGCCGGCGGTGTCGTCGGGCGGTGGCGGTGGCGGCGGCGGCAACAACAACAACAACAAACACGAGCGGAAGAAATCGTTTGGCGAATCGTTCCGGCGGCTGGTGGGCAAGTTCACGGGCACCGGAGGCGGCAAGTCTCAAGACGATCGGAAGAAAAACCGTAAGAAGCCGGAACCGGCCGAGCTGCGGCGGCGGGAGCGGCGGCGGCGGTCCGGGAGCGGCAGTGGCGACGATTACGAGGACGACGACGACGACGACGGCGGCGACAACGACGAGAACACCTACAGGAGTTACGACGGCGGCGTTCGGCCCACCGCTGCGGACCATCACCATCAGCGGTTGTTCGGCAGCACGCAGACGTTGGACCGACACCGAGCCGGACGGACCGACCGCGGCAAGACGCGCGACCGCTACGACGACGACCGGTTCGACGACGACCGCTACGACGACGACGGCGACGACGCGCGGTACGACGGGGACCACCATAATAACCACCACGATCGCCGCGCCGAGGAACAGGCCAACATGAACGGCAGGAACGGGAACGTGCAGAGGTATTACCTGGGCGAGGACCCGTTCGGCGGCAGTATCTACGGCCGCGAGCGCGAGTACGACGGTGTTGCGTACAACAAGCGCCGGCCGCAGCACAAGAAGAACTCGTACGAGTCGCAGCACACGCAGCATTACGTACAGAGGTAACGACACCATATTTGCTGAATAATCCGCGATACGTTGTTTGACGTAAACCGACTGCTGTTGCCACGACGGTTAAAGCGCAGTCATAATTATTCACTTTAACGATTGTTTCCGTTTTTTGTTTTTACTTTTTCTCACCCTTATCCTTTCGTCGAACGCCATCGGTTCGTTTTCGGCAATCTTTCGCGCGCGCGCGCTACTGTCTTGATTCACTATTTTCTTTCGTTATTCCGTTAATACGCCGGAAATGCGTGTTGCTCAAAACGAATCCGAATCTCAATAGGAAAAATAAATATTTACTTTTAATCGAATACCTAATTTATATACATATATAATTACGTTTTAATCTTAACTGTTAGTTTTAATTCCATTCTAAATGATATTTTATCGAATTTTTTTTTTTTTAATATTTGATTTAGTATTTAATTATTTATATTTTTGGAAATAAGTTTATTCGAGTATTATTCGTATTTGGTCTCAACTATGATGGTACTATTATAAGATATTATTACTAAAATATAATATATACACATATTATACGTAAAAAGTATTTTAATAATATGGAATAAATACGTCGAATTTAAAAGAACCGTATTGTTCATTTGTTTTATACGTACAATTCAAAATATATGTTTCAGAACACTTTTGTATTGTTATTGTAATTGTTTTCGATCGATGTAATATTACTTCGATGAATTATAATTTATATAGTATTGATACTTTGTGTTTATTGATATTCCGTTACGTTTAACAAGCATACAATCGTGACGTAATATAACAATATTGGATTTTAATGTAATTTTCTTTCGTGATCGTAAAAACTGAACTCTTCCGTCCGTGTAGGTGATTTGTAGAAATCGTATTTTGTACACGTCAAATGCGATAAGAAGTCCTTTTCGTAATTTTTACACGTACAATCGACTTGGAATATGATCATATTTCCGCGCCTGAATAAACTATAAACACGACGTAATATAATTTTATATCATATGGATTTACCTTTTCGTTGCGACGTACAAACCGATTTGGAATATTGTAAATTGTAACACATAGGTACCTACCAGTGACGCGCGTATTACATTCCCAAAGCAACGTCGTGTAGAACTGACGTCGTAACGCGTAAAAACAATGTCTGAGTAAAACACACCAATATTCGTGTTTGTACGAGCGGTTGCGAACGATTAATTTTGTTTTTTCTCATCAGTGATCGCATAACTGTACGTGGAATAATACGCTATCCGATCGATATATCCTTTTTCGCAGCCAGAACGTAATCATGTGTGCGTTATTTTTAATCCGCGAGAACGTTTCGTCATTGTCGTTTGCGGATCCAACAACACACGCAATCGTGTACAATAATGCGATGTTTTGCAAACGACGGAGCCCTACGCGAATATACCTCCTATATCATCGGGACAATCGGTCGCGTACGGTATTAGCATAGAATGGAACACACCTATAAATAAAACGCCAACATGATTATTAGCCCGGTTTTTTTAATTTATCGTCGTTTTCTCTCTTCTCCTCCGAGTACAACGCGCGCCAACAAGGAGGAGATCCGCGCGAAAATCGATGAACGAAACGCGAATATTTTTACACGGGACGGCGCGCAGCAGCCGGTGCCGTGTGCTAATGCCTAAAAATGGTGAGACCTGTTGGTCGGGGGGTGGGGGAGGGGAGGTAAGCCAACGAACAACGAGTAATAACGATGAAATATTAATTGCTACGAGCCAGTTCCGCGCGCGAGGCGTGTCCGCGCGCCGTCGAATAATTTTGCGTGTGCGATCGAAAGCGAACACAATTTCCCCTGTGGTGCGCGCGAGGCAAGTGTATATACCGCGCGGTTACGCACGTGGGGGCGAACGCGATTTCACCGCGCGCGGGAAACTTTGAACGAGAAACGGGGCCCGAAAGGTGCGCACAGCGATGCACGCGCGATCGCGATGATTTTGCCGTCGGTATTATTTTCTTTTCGTAATTATTTTTTTCCGTGATCCGATCGGTCGTCCCGAACGAATACAGACGTCGGTGCGTCAGAGTCGGCCGGTCCGCACTCGAATTTGATGGGCTGCACGCGAAACGCTGCACCCGCGCGCGTTCTCCGATTCGCGAACACGTGCTCGCGTCGATCGATCGAACGAGCGGGCGGCCGCTTATCCTCCCACGATTTAAGTTTAATTTTTTTTTTTCACTTCCTATTTTCTTTCCGCGCGTAAATAATAACCACGGCCGGTAGACCACCAGCCCGCACTGCACGGTGGCAATACGCGAATTATTCTGTCAAGAACAAAACTCGCGACCGTAGCGATTTCTTCGTCGAGGAGAACGCACTCGTTATTTTAACACAGGTAATTATTATTTCGTACACTATTCCTAATTGTACTTCTACACGCGTTTTCGATATACACACACACACACACACATACATATATATATATATATAGCAGGGGTCGCCCAGTCGATCTTTTTAGGAATACAGGTCGATCGTTGTAAAATAATCGGGTTAATCGGATAATGGGAGTATTAGATTATTGTTATTATTAGGAAAAAAAACAATAAATAATTATTCTTTGGAGCTTAGACCTTTATTATTTTTGTTCATCATACAAATCTCTTCCTAAAGACCTAAATTCCACTGGATGTCGATCACCTGGGACTTAAATGTCAAATGTAGCTCACTTGTTTAAAAAGGTTGGCGACCCCTGTTATATAGGTGGTATGGCGCTCCTTGTTTTTTTTTACAGTGCAACTCGTGATTATAACAATATTTATTTGTGTTTACATAGCGGTTTCGAAACCAATAATTAATACAACTATTGCAAAATCGAACCGTTGTGTTGCGTTCGGGATAATTATTTACATCGTGTACGGTAAATTTTAATATATTCTCCGGTACGTTACCGAGTAATATGAACCTAAATCTTAGCATTCTTCAGCTTTCAATTTTTAAACCTAAACTGTGTTGATACGGTATTACTAAATAATATCGACTACGTTCTAAACTGTGACACAACGATAAAACAAATCCAATAAAATAATAATAATAAATCAAGTTGAATTATGGTGAGCGCGTGCGAGACTAGATATTATTTTAGGTGAATTTTCGACCTCCGTTGTTCGTACGCATATAGTATATATTATATGCATACAACTCAATGCTATCCGATTCCGTTTTCAACGTTTCGAGTTCAGCGTGATTTCAATTCGATTTTGTGTTTACAACGATAATATTATCTGGGCTGCAGATCGGCGGAAGTATTCTTCTAAACCGTATGTTTCACCAGGTTGTACTAGGAAGTAGTATGTTATGCACTATATTATTTTTTTTTCTACTAACGTCCGGCCTAAAGTTTGATTTGCCCCACCTGATGGTGTGTTCTGGCTACGGGCCTGTGTTTCGCACACGTTTCAATTCGTTGCACAACGGATGTTTACAGTTCGGTTTTATTTCTTGTCGCGATAAATGTATTATACGCGTCAGTATAATACGTCATATTGTTTTCATACATCTTAATGCATGTCCGAAAAAGTAACATCGCTCCTCCGACTGAAAATCGATTACACGTACTTTGTACGTGTAAATATTGTTCTGAACAATCCGTGCACAACTCGTATGTATGTTCGATTTATTGCATTGCGCGTTCAAGCTGTTGCATTAATGTCGGCCTTGACTTTGGATAGATCTTTCAGAAACAGCAACGAGCCAAGGTTGTGTGTTTTTTTTTTTTTTAAATTATTTACACCGCACGGTAACAACCGCTTTGGATATAAACAGTGAGGACATCATCCACACCTACTAATAGGTACTGTTATACCGTTGTTATCGATTTTACATCATGCGGTTTCGGAATATTTGTGCGACAATGTGTAATACTGTGTACGAAGTAGTGCAAGTACGTGTTTATTATACCGTGGTAGTGTTGCGGACAGATAATCCGTTTTCGGTGGTTTCATGGTCGCGAGGCACGGCACTTAATTTGCATAGGGACCAATTATTTACGAGAGAGAAAAACGCAATTAATTTGAAACACTACGCACCGTGCACACACCCACGTCCTGTACGTGCGTTCAATCTAATCCTGCCCGGCGACATACGTGTGCATCGTCTGTATTTCGACTTGTTTACGCTGAACGTTTGTTTTCCCCCGGACGGTGTTACCGCGCCGCCGCGGAAAACGCCAACGCGCGCAACAAGCCAAATCGGGAAATATACCTACCTTATTTTTCTCGTACGATCGTGTCACAATAACCTGATTGCAGATAACGCAATTTATTATCGATATTATTGTTACTATTACTATCATTATCGTGTCGAACACAACTAGACAGAAATCAAAAAAATGCCACTTATTGTACACAACATGATCTAACGGTAGGTGGTATACATCGCGTGGCGTTGCTTATGGAAATGTGCGTAAAAGCGACGGGGCCAAAAGTGCGTTTAAATACGTTTTCTTGTCTCGTCGATGCTAATGCCATTTGCATCTAAATAATAATAATAATGATAACGCCGATCGTGCGAAATATGTTTTAATTTTCGAAAATGTATTGCTGCGTATGTTTTCATTGATCACTCGGACAATTCAATAACTCACGTTATTCCAACTGCGTGTCTTACGGATTCTTACACGCATAAATCACACTTGAATTCCGTTTACCCGCCACGTGTTAACGATCATTTACGGGATGTAATATTATATATTTCAACAAACGCGTATGATCGTTTTTCTACCGAACACACGGTACACTTCATGGTTCACGGGTTCAAATCCATGTATGGTTTCGGATCGAATTATTCACCAAAACGTTTCCAACCAACGTTGATCGGGTGAACATAATTTCGAACCAAGAACTATTTGGGCCATTAAGACTTTTTGCAGCTTTTATTAAACCTCTACACCTGTCACGATCAATAACAGTCTCGAGACTTGCTGCTTCGTCGACCATTCTTATATCTGCATTGACTCTATCCCGCCATCGTTGACGAGGTTTCTCCTGGGGCGCTTTCCAGTTTGGTTATTAATCAGTAGTTTTTGAATTATGTTTTCCTAATCAGCTCACCACATATGACCGGCCTATTTCGGACGTTTGGTTTTTAGAAAGAATTTAATATTTGGTTTATTATAAAACCATTCTAAGTTGGTATTTTCTCCTTTTATAATCTCTAGTTGATTAATTTCTCGCAGGGCCGTATATTTTGCTCGTACATTTCCCGTTACTGTTTTACCAGAAGTATATTTGTTGTTACACCGAACAACTCAATTGTAATCGACCAACTGCAGTAAACCGTACGCAATCATCAATAATGCCTTTTTTACATTTCTGATAAATTGTCTCGCAACGAAGTGTATTCGTTTAACTGATTCGTTCGTTGTTACCGTTATAGGACCATACCGGTGAACACAACTTCTACCACGTTGGGTAGATTGAGCAAATCGACGGGACGTTTGTTGGCGGACGATTACAACGGCGGCGGATCAGACAGAGCACAGACGCTGCCGAGAAAACTCAGAACGGAGAGCAAAATTAAAAAGCAGGTATTTAAAACGTGCAAAACGTTCTACGATTAACTAAGATTTCCGTGGTTATTGCACACGGCTGTTGTCGGTATGACATAATCTCGACAGCCGTCGCGAGCTTGACGATAAGATCGTAGTCGATATTCCGCCATCGCGTCGGACAGCCGTTTTGTTGCAATAGTGGACCATGTCAGGGACGTGCCGAAGGAGTGATTTTTTTCTCGTGGCATTCGATCCAAATGGTCTGATCGGTTATAGAAAAATATAACTGTAATCAAGTCCCCGACGCATATAAGCCCTTTGCCCCCCCCCCCGGAATCCTGAGCACGCCCCTGGGCCCCGGTCATGATGCACGCGTCAAGACACGTACGTAATACACAAGCAAATAATCGTCGGTGCTGCTTGCAGGTTTACTCGTCGTCCAGGGAGAACGACCACGCGGGCCTGAACCGGTCGGCCAACTCGGGCAGCATGATCAACGTGTCGTTCGCCAACGGGCCGGCCAAGCCGCAGCGAACGTTCTCGAAGCCGTCGCTGTTGCGCAGCCAGAGCTTCAACGTGCAACCGGACGCGGCGGGGCTGCAACACTCGCGCCGGTCCGTGAGCACGTTGCACCGGCTGGAGGAGTCGCCGCCACCGCTGAAGAGCCCGAACATTGTGAGCAGCATCGTGAGCCGCAGCACCAAGGACCTGTCGGTGGCCGCGGACGACGGGTACCGGTCGCTGTCGGGCAGCTGGGCCAGCCCGGGTGAGCTGAGCAACAACGGCGCGCAGGGTCCGTACTACCGGCGGGACGACCCGAAGAAAAAGATCTTCATGAAGGGACTGCTGGACCACGCGCCCGAGCTGTACAAGACGCTCAGCCACCAGGACGAGGATCGCAGCGGCAGGAGCACGCGGTATTCGCCGGTCAAGATGACGACCGCGTACGACCGGCCTTACTCGAGCAGCGGAAACTCGTCCTCGCCCACCACCGCGACCAAGCACAACCCGGGCGAGGTGACCAATCGCAGCGTGACGCGCCGCGGCAGCAAGGACGATTACACCGAGACGGTGCGCATCACGTCCAAGTCGGACGACCCGTACCGGCCGAGCGTCACCAACACGGTGCAGAACTTCACCAAGAAGACGGTGCCCCGGGACGGCCGGGTGGAGACGATCGAGTCGACCGAGACCAAGACGGTGACCAAGAGCCGGTACAACGGGAGCGGCGGCGGCGACACGATGAGCAGCAAGATCAACGGGTTCAACGGCAACGGCGGCGTGGTGATCGAGGTCAGGAACGGCAGGAACTGATGCCGACCACCACCATACCAGCACCTGACCAGCTTATGCGGAGTACAGCGATGGCGCGACGTGTTCCGCGCCCAGGGCCGATACGGTACACGGGCGCGGCCGATCCGTTGTTGTTGTTGATCGCGCGCGCGCAAAAATATCTATTAACTGAATAACCTCTAGTACACGTCCGAACGGATGTCATCGGCGTTTTTTACACTCGTCGTAATACACCAGCTCGTATCGCGTACGACAGCGTCGCGCATGTACTATATTTTAGCCGTCGGTACCTAATTTCATACTCTATACCATTTAATAATATATGTAATATTGCATGTAAGTAATACGAGATTTACCTCGTCTAATGTTGTTCTTGACTCGTACAGCGTCCGAGATCGGATGCGAATAATATTTTTATATACCTTATTTATACTAATGCAAAACATAAAATCGTCCAGACTAATTTATTATTAATAGGTTAAATTCTTTGTAGTTAATCGTACGGAACGTGTAAATAATTATCGTTTTATTTTCCGTATCTTTCTCTCTCTATCTTTCTTTCCATGCGATTACATACATATCTATCTGTGTGTATACAATAACATAAACGGCTCAACAATTTGTGAAATTTGTATTTTTTTAAATTTTTTTTTGTACAACAGACGATTTAAATAAACGTGAGAGTTTAACTACGCTCCGCAGTCGTATTTTACACATGTACACGTATCGTTTAATGGAAATTATTAATTGATGTTCCCCAATATTTAATTATATCTTTATAACTTTATTGGTTAACATTAAAAAAAAAAAAAGACACAAATAATATGTACTTAGTTATTATTATGAATATTAAATATATATTTTTCATTGTAATTTAATAATAATCCAAGTCGTTTTCATTTTTCAACTGCCCATACAATAGAGTTTTAACCAGGGACTGGAACCATTTGAATTTATCGGTATCGATTCCGGTACTGGTTCTTAGAAAATAAAATAACTGTTCCAATTCGGTTCCGGTTTTATGATGAAAATTAATAAAGGTGTTAATCTTATTGAAAATATAATTATTAAACTTCAAAAAATAACTGGAGAAAATGGAGAAAAAATAAAAATAAAAATTTATCAGCTTCAACAAAAAAATCAAGGGTTCATAATATTAAACAACGTAGCAAAAATTTTAAAAGGAAATAATGAAATACAATTTGTACATAATTTTTCAACTATGTACTATGGTAACTGATTCGCAATATGCTCCTGTGACTTCAATTGATATTTAGTACATATAAAAATATTTTAACAGACCATCGAACGGAAATAACGTCAGACCACGTGAAACACATGGAACACAACATAGTTGTTAACTGTTTCCAAAAAAGAGAATTGTCTAAAATAAAATAATATTTTATTTTAGACATATATATATATATATATATATATATATATATATTATATCATTTATATAATAAAATAAGTTTTTTTTTTTAAGTTAAATTATAATGTATTGTTTATTTAATTAAAAAAAATATATATATATTTCATTAAATATATAGAACTAGCTTAATTACCCGGCTTCGCACAGAACATTCTTGACCGTGACATAGGTTTTATTACTTTACACTATTTAAAGCCAAGTTCGGTATAACTATTGGTGGTTATAAAACAAATAAAATGAAAGTTCAAATGAATCAGTATACTAATTTTGGTGATACCTCTGAATTATTGTATTTGCTGATTCCAATATTTTTTTTAAAATCCCTTCTTATTGCACGTTTTGTATATTGGAGAGACCACCATATCAAATTTCAAGTTCATATAGTTTTGAGATGTAGCGATGATCAATAAGTGAGTTATACCTGACGTTGTCCATTGAGAAAATTTTGAGTGTTCAATTCTTTTTGGGTATTACCGATGAACCTGTACCTTCTTATTTTGGATTATTATTTTTTTATTTATTAATTTTATTGAGAAAAGTCTGTCAGTTCGAGGTTCCAAATAAATGCTATTTATTATAGTGTATGTATGTACGGGTTCTAGATAATTTTAGTACCGGTTCCTGTTATCATTAAAATATAATATTATTTCTTATCAATAAAAAAAAAACCGTGAATATACTACAATATACCATCGTCCACTTGTTAGTGTAGTATAGTGGTAAAGGAAAAATTATTTTATTATATATTGCTGACAAACAACGTTGCCTCCTATAAAATTCATAAAACAGTAATATTGTTATAAAATCTGTTATAACTGGTAAAACTAAATCGTTATGTATTAGAAATTAGAAAATAATAAAGTTTTAAATTAAAAATTGCATACGATAAATAGGTTAAAAATAATTAAACTATAAATAATAGCATATGCTCCATAGAAGCAGTAGTTAAAAAATATTTACAATACTCATCAATCGTCAATAAACTATGAACTACAATTTACATTAGCGGGTAATGTGTCTATTTTATTAACATCATCGTTTTACTTGGAAGATAATATTGATTCCAATTATGGTATATACTGGGTAAAAAATGTCTATATAATATTATTTTGTGATAAATATACACGTAATAAACACTTCAAAAATATAATTTTAAATAGGTAAAGAATAAGAATAAGAATAAGAACTTTGTATAGTTCTAGGTATAAACATAATGAGAATGGACCCCTGATTATAAACAAAGTAGTAACTACAAATAATTTATGCTAAATAAATGTATTTTAATTTTGGAACCTTAAAGAACCTTTACAATTTAAAAATCCCGTTTCGACCGGTACTTCATTTATCAAAATAAAGGTTTCGGTTCCGGTATCGGTTCCTATTATTTAAAATGTTCCAATTCCAGAACTGGTTCTTTTCGGTTCAGTTCCTGTCCCTGTTTTTAACAATCCAACACATATATGTGACCGTAGTATAATAGTACCGTATACCGGATTATTATTTATTTTTTTTTCAAATGCCCTGGGGTTTTATTATTTAAATAACCCAAAGGTCTTTATGAATATATTTAGCAATTTTATATATTTACACGATCGTCGTAAAAAAAAACACATACATTTAAACAGAAATCGAGTAAAAATAAATTTATTTTTTATGCTTTTGTTCATTGTATAAAATTAAAAATATGAACGTTCCACGAAATATTAACTATATCACAGTCCAATTTGTGCGGGAGCCGAGTAGATGTAATTATTATAACCAATACGGTTTATGATTGTTGTTTTTTTTCAATACAATTGTAAAATCAAATTACACAGAGTTATCAAAATGATAGTTCAAAAATATAATTATTGTTGGATGTGGCAAAAATATGTCAGATTACTGAGGGTGTTGGACTGACGTAATGCCCTGAACTGTAATTTTCAAGCATTTTCATAAATTTCATGAAAAAATACACGATTGAAAATTAATCGCAGTAGGAAAAAATAATTAAGCCTCAAGTAAACGAAACACATGAGCATTTAAAAAAAAAAAAAACTAAGATATGAGTACCACCTACACGTAACTGAAAAAGAGTTTCTTAACAAATGAAAGTAATTTCATCATACCACTATGACAATGCAAACAGCAAGCGCGAAGAGTGTTGTGTGACCCAGCGCTATTTTTATTTTAAAAGCAACGCGGGTGGCTCTCGTGAATTTCTCTAGAAGCGGATTTGAACGAACCGAGTTTCTTAAAACCATACTTGATGTACCGGTACCCAGGTTTCGCGGGTTTAAAAACAACTGTCACTAAACAAAAAAAAAAAAAAATCATAACGTTCCAATGACCACCCGAAATGTCACACAAATACTTCATAGCAGTTCTCGTATGGATTGTTATTGTTCTGTAAGTTTGGTACATCAAGTCGAAACGGAATCGTAAATATCAATGACGTGTGTTCTTTGTCTGATCCAAGCTTCGGCATCGTCCGATTACGTAATGGGAGTGCCCATGATCATTATTTATGATTCGTCGTAACATTGATCTATACGAATACGGTGCTGCACTTTGTTCTTGCTCGATGAAATATAACACCACGGTGTTGAACGTTACAGCAACACGTATTTCATAATTTTTAAGTATCAGCTAGCTTCCGTAATTTTTTTTTTCTGTATAAAAAAACTTTGTATCTCTATTGCGTGTAATTGTTATTTACGACGCGTACACGCCAAGAATATGCAACACGTCCGGTATAGATAATGTTTAATATTCAACACGGATGCACTGCAAAATTCGTCTTCAAATTACCGTGGCATGATTGACATATTTTTGTAATTCAAAAAACATCCCCTCACCAAAGAGATCAATATACGCTAAGAAATTTTAGTGCGTTATCAGGTAATTTTTGCAGCTGCGGTTCTGCTGGCAACAGTTCCAAGTGTAATATCTTAACTCAGCGTTTCTTAAGCTTTTTTAAGTGTGGAACCCTTCTTGATGTCCATATTTATCGCGGAACTCTTGCTTTTTTTTTTAATGTTTTAGCTTTTTTTAGGATTATTTATAAATAAATTATAATCATATAATAATATTATGTAAAAGATATTTAATTCAAAAAAAATAAAATAATAATAATTGTATATACATATATAATAATACTTTAATTAGAGTAAATATAAATTTAGACTATTCCATATGGCTTATACACTGTTGTTTAATATACAAAGATTTTATTCCTATAACGCAAACATTTTTTCATCATTACTAACCTTTAGTTGGAAATTTTAAGGTAATTTTCTTAATATTTTTAAAGAAATTACTTAAGTTTCGTGGAACCCTGAAGTGATCTTCGTGGAACCCCAGGGTTCCACGGAACACAGTTTAAGAAACACTGTCTTAACTATATAGGTACGTTCATCTCCTTATTTTTTACCAAACAACTTCATCATTTAGGCAACAACACCGATGTAAAATAAAACCGGAACGATCCGATTTAAAAAATGGTTCAAGTCAATAAGATCCTTGGAATCGAGTACCCATTATTATAGGAAATCTGTTAATATTTTACACTTTCCAACAAATCGTTTAAAAAACACTTGTTTCTCATGACCTAATCCTATAGACTATGTTTGTTTAGTTGTAGAAACTTTACTATAAAATAGTTATATTCGTTATTTACATGAAATTCAAACATTGGATACCGGACCCCACTGAGAGAACCATTGCGGGGGCCCAATTATGTGCAGTGCATTGTAATTATATAATAGGCACCTACCTTCTGAGATAATTAAAAGAAAATGTTTAAACATGTATTTTTTTTTTTTTTTTGTTACTTTATAAGCATTTCTTCTTTTTGAATAAATGAGCAGTTTTTTTAATTAATTTATGATGATATTATAACAATCGACCTACATATTGAAATCTTTTAGATGCACTTATTTTATATAAAATATAAAATCTATATCAGCAATTAATATAAATTATTTAATTTGTTTCTAAATGCACATAGGAATAATTTTTAAAAATATTTGGAATAAATATTCGAACACTGTTGAAAAATACTTTATTAAGTAGGTACTTTACCAAAATGGTATTCCGAATACATTATTTAGAATATTATAAAGGAGTTCCATATAATTTTTGAATTTTTTTTTTCTCTTACATGTACTTATATTTTATTGACATAATTATCTTATAATCATTGCTACAAAACCGGAAAATAGTTTTACGCTAAAAATAGTAGAAACAAAATCATATATATCTATTATAGTCATAAGACATTATTTACCTCCCTTCTTATAAACGAGTATAAGTACAATTTATACAATAGAAAAACTGTACAATTATTCAAAAAAGTATTCAGGATACTCAAAATTAATTTAAATACTATCAAAGTTTACATACTAAAAATATATTCAAGTTATCTTCTAAAACAGTAGTCGGCAACTGGCGGTCAGATTCTGGCCTACACGTCTCTTTTATAAGGCATGCAAATTTCAAAACTAGGAAATTTCATAGAACATCGTATCAATATTTTATATTATCTGGCCCATGAACCCATTTTAATTTATGAATGTGGTCCAAGGGTCCAAAAAGGTTGCCGACCACTGATCTAAAATTTTTTTTTTAAAATTATAGTCTATGCCTTTTTAATATGAATTTCTATATTCGTGTCTAAAAGCTTATCTATTTAATTACGTACATTTTTCATATAAATAGTTGTTTTACCAGCGATAGCACTTTTATAACTTGGTGATCAAAAACAATAATATTGACTTTTGACTTTATGAATGGTATTCTTAAAACACGCCTTTGCTAAAATGTTGGATTGTTAAATTCTAATGTACATATATGTTACGGGTAAAGTTCGAAAATGGGTAGTTTACACATTACCCGGGTAAAGTACATCTTATTCATATAAATAGTATAATGTGTACATTATCCAGTGTGCTATAAGTTTAATCCTAAAAAAAAATTATTAAGTACCTAAACTATGTATTAATAAGTTATTATTTTATAATAAAAAATTTAAAAAAAATTAAATAAAGTTATTTATTGGAACACTGAGGCATTTTGAGTTGCAAAATATCTTTCCAGATTTACATTTATTTGTTAAATGATTATTTTCACATGAACATTTTTTTGTAACCGACACTTATAAAATATTTATAAAAGTTTCATTATGATTTATTTGTTTTTATTCACGTTTCTTATTTCAGATAGTATGTTATAATATTTTGATTCCGTTAAATATACCGAATTTTCATTATTTTCATTAATTTATTTATTATAATTTTCATATAATTTCTATTTTTATGACGACAAGTTTTTTTTTTTAAAATCTAAATGATCAAACATTAATAAACCGAACAAGTGAACTCGAAAACCAATAGCACTGTTTGTAGTTTAAAATTATTAAATAATATCAATGCACATGATTTATCATCATGTAGGTACAATTTATGTTTTATCGTATTTTATTAATATTATCTACAGTTCATATTTTGTCGTATTTTATTTTATGAAAACACTTTATCCACTCAAAGGTAAATAATGTAAAAATTACCCGGTTGATGTACCTACAAAATAAACGTTTTACAAATATGTTTACTTTATCCAATGGGCATGGGTAATGTTCACATTACCCGAATGATGTGTACATTACCCGATTTTCTTATTCTACCCGTGACATATATAAATCACCGGTATCTTTAATCGTATATTGGCTGTAGACGACGAAAGAATTACAAAGCTATCTGAAGCATATGGTCTTCGATCAGCCAACCAAGGCCGTATTTAAGGGGTGGTTTGAAGAGGCAATAACCAAAAATATTCAATGAAGCGGTAACATTTTTACGGTGATTCAAAATAAAAACAAATCGATTTTTTTGCATTCTCAATGGAAATTATTATGAATGATAAATAAATAAAATCATATGAAAAATAAATGTAATATTGTAAAATGATTAATATTATTTAGTAGCATATAATAATCATTCAAGGGTATAAAAATAAAAGTTCGCATTTGAAATACAATTTTTAAAAAACTTTTATAATGATTCAAAAATGTACCACGGAAATAAAACGGAAGTCTACTCGTGGCGCCGTCGATTCAAAACTGAAAAAAAATGATTTAAGAATATTTAATTCCAATAAACATTATTATATTGATTTATTATGATAATAATAATATATAAATTATGAATGGCAATCAGTACAAATCATAAGGTTTGTTAAGGGAGGGTTATACAGTCGAAGTAAAATTATATTCCATTTTTTAATATAATAACATTAGGGATTGAAGTTTAATATAATTTTTATTAAAATTTAAAAGTAATTCAAAATTTATATTTATTTAAGTTTTTTATTTCACATGTTTTTTTTTTTTTTTTTTTGAGATATAGGTATTAGTTTAATCTTAATTTTTAAGGGTGTGGGACATTCAGACGGAAGGATACCACTAAATATGACTTATAAAAGACAATTTTTTATTACTTTATTAAGGTAATTAAAACTCGGTTATTATTTTGGATTTTATATAAACATTGTGTACTGAAATTGAGAAAATGAATTGCGAGCGTAGTGAAAGGCTTTTTAATAAATAGTTAAAGAAACTTGTTTTTAATTTTAAACTTTATTAAAGAGAGTCGACAAAATACGGCCATGCAGACACCACAGTGTTGAAGAAGCGAATATTATTAACATTGGACAGTTACAATTTCGAAAATTAAACCATAGCATACAATTGTAATCACTCGAGCAAATATTTTTGTCCTTAGTTTTTATCCAGTAATAGTTATCAAGCAGAATCTTGAGTTTCCTTGGAAGAGTATACTCAGATGTGCATTTTAAGTTATTTTTTATTATAAATTAAAATATAGTTTTCAAGTAATTTGTATAAATCTTAATAATATTAGACTGCTTTGGATTAGAATTTCTAAATATACCTAAATATAATTTTGTCAGTCTTGTGTGTCTACTATAATATTCATCATATTAAATTATAGTTCATAAATATTACTAAAATTATTATAAACAAATTACAATTTAAATGTATGATATAGAAAAAACAGATATTAACAGAATATTTGATATTTATAACAATGATATTTTAACAAAGAAAATTATTATATTTTTTAATTTCTAATTATTTTACTAGTATCTTATAAGGACCAAATAACTCGAGATTCAGAGGGGTTGTAACCATAACAATCATCAACTACTAATGAAGAATTTAAATACAAACAGTAAATTAAAGATAATACAAAATACATAACATACATATATTTTAAAAGAAAAATTTAATAATTCATAAATATATAAAACAACTACTTAATTGATCATTCTAATTACTTGTAAAACTAATATATTAATTGGTTTTCCGAATGAATTTATTAGTAAATATAATTTTTACCTTTATAAATCATACGGCACAATAAAGATATAAAATGTTGTATAAAAATATTAATTATAAGTTATAAATTAATTAATGTTCGAATATAATTTGATTAATATTAGTCAATTTTAGTCATACAATTAAAAACTTTAAGATTTGACTTTCAAGAAATATTTTAATTTCAACAAGTAGAATGGTAATTTCATAATTTGTAATTTTTAGCAAAATATTTATTAAAATAACACAAAATCAGTCTTGAAAAATATAATAAAATAAACTCAATGTATAATTAGGAAAAAGGGTAGAACATATACTTAAAATTTAACTAGTTAAACTTAACAAATATTATTTATTAGTATTAAATAAAAATTTGAAGTATCATCAATGAACAAATAACACTAGGGATGCTAGATAACTAAAGTTAAGGACTGAACATGATAAAATTTACTTGATTTGGCTAATCTAAACAGTGGTATATGATATAAATACATTTTATTGAATCTACATAATATATTATTAGTTTTTTAATACAATAAATATATACAATAATAATAATTCGATATCTTATATTTATTCTCAGCCAAGGTGTTTATACAGTAATATTTAAAGAAAAAAATACATTTATTTAAGATCTTAAAACGAAAATATTATTTTTTAAAAATTTTATAAGTCTTTTTTCTATGAATAATATAACTAATTGCAGATGACACTGTAGTAGCAGTTGTTAGCCACCACAATGCTTGAAGTGCTGAGTGATCAACAAAATCAAAAACTGGAGCTGCTAAGGTAGCACCTACCATTGCTAACTGAACTGTAGTGTTAACCTTACTTATGAACATAGGTGCTAATTGGACATTGGTATTGGTTACATCAAATAATTTACTCAGTGTTCTAGGTTTAGGTATTGACATATAATGGATTTGGAAAGCAGCACCAATTAAAACTAAATCTCTAAAAATAATCAGCCCAGTAAGATATACTGGAATCAAATCTATATAAGTTAATGTGAAAAACATAGTACCCACGAGTACTTTATCAGCCATTGGGTCCAAAAAGCTACCCAATTTTGATTGTTGACCTTTAAAATTTCTGGCAATCCATCCATCAATTAAATCAGTTATACTTGCTATGGCTACAAAACTGAGAGCATACCCAAAGTTTTCATTGACAATAAGGTATCCCAAATAAGGACATAAAACTATTCTAGTCATACATAACATATTTGGGATCGTCCAAACATTCTCTTTTATAGTATCCCGTACCTTTGATTTAGTCTCCTTGATATCATCTAATATAAATTTACTTTTGGTTTGTAATTTTTGTTTGGTTTTTTGTAATATAATATGTTTATCTCGAATAGCGTCTTTCAATTTATTATGGCGCTTTGAAAATCTGTCATCTGCAAAGTAAACATTTGACATAATTCGGTGATTTTTGAATAAGCGTACTGACAAAAAAGTTCTATTGAAATTGGGAAGAACAGCTGGAAAGTACATTCTGCATTGAGGTAAGTACATTTTACAGCAACAATGATTAGATACAAAAATATATTTCAGTAGATGATGCATTTTGTACTGCTAATTCATTTTTTGTACACTGCAAAAAAGAAAAAAATTGTTAAATTATTTACATATGTTAAGCATATGGCATGTGAAATGTTCATATTTTCATAAATAAATAACCAAAATTATATTAAAGATGTTATTCAATGATACAACATATTATACATAGGTACATAATAATAAAAAAATTTAAATTTCAATGCATGATAAAGAATAAAAATTATGTAAATAATTACAAATACAAAATATGTTGATTATAATATAAATGATTCATCTAATACATTTTCAAAATTGAATAATAAATTGTAAAAAACTTTTTTTCCAGAACATGCAATACAAAAATAATATTTATATAGATATACTTATAATTTATACTTTGTCATATTAATTGAAAGGATCCAAAAGATATAGTTCATCAGTTAAAATAATTAATAACATGCTTTTTGAAGTTGAAATAATATTTTCTACAAAATATACGTAATAATTTTAGTTCAAAATAATAAAAATAATGAACCTAAAATTCATAAATAACAAGACAATATCAAGCTTCAACATATGAATATTATTTTAATGCAAGTATTTTTAAATTATAACATCCCAGAATCAAACTAAGATGCAACAAAAACAAAAATATAATACAGTTTATTTTATGAAACCAATGATACTAATTGTCACCATATTCTAATTGATGTTTAATTAAAAACTTTACATTAGTTTCATATAACTTTATATAGACGTTCATCACCCTTTTAAAATGTATAGAGAATAATAAAATATTTTATCACATAATAACACTCAACAAAATATAAACAAAAGAATTATGAAAATTAAAATTTGTTTTCAAAAATGTAATCGAATAGTTTCAGCACAATACAGAGCGCAAATGATTTTAAATTAAATTATGAAGCCTACCAGTTCTTTCCACTATGTAAATTGACCATAACATTATTCTAGAAGTGGGTAATGTATAATTACTAAAAAATTACAGTTTTCAAAGGCCTATTGAACTTTCATAAAAAAAATTTTTATAAGCTCATTGCTTATGGACCTTGTAATAACTGCTGATATTTTTAATTAGAATCGTGAACAAATTTACAACAGAGAAGGTTATTAAATATATATATACAACTGTTTGTGTATTATGGGCACAATTGTTGGCACAATTTAATCAAAACAATACTAGCTATGTCGTTGAACATTTGTAGGATTTGTATTAAAAATAATTCAAACAGTTTTTGTTATGGTTTATAGACAAGATGTTTAAAACAGGTACACAAGTCGAACATTGAAAATTGTCAAAACGATATTATCTCAAACTCTAAATACATTATCACCCGATCGGTATGGAAGTTGTGGCTGGGAGTAGTACAATTCACGTTATTTCTGGGAAAATAACATCGTACTCACTTCGTTCGCGTTCCACCGGTGGTTGAGCGTTGTGCGTGACGGTCACGTTGGCGGAAACGGACTGCGACTCGTTTACAGCGCAAGGACTCGCATTTTCCGTTTGCGTTGGTCGTAGTAAACGCTGTCGACGTTACGTTATTACGATGGACTCGACCCACACATACGTCGAAAACGCGGCACTGACGGGCGGACTAAAAGTATGTGTCCGGACCGAAGGCGCTGTACGCCTTATCGTCGACAGAATGAAAAACTGATAAGGACTATTATCATTGGCCGCCGCGCCGAAGAGCCAAACGACCGGGAGAAAAAACAGCTGACCCGGGGTTACGTCCATTGTCCGATTAGTTTCCCGCCATTTACCGATAGCAACGGAAGAAAAAGAAGGATTTCGCTGACAACTTGTTCAGTGACGACCAGTGAACAAAAACAACGTTCTCCGCCGCGGACAGTATTTACGTAAAGCGGTGTCGTTGTTTTCGGTGGACAAAATGCATCCGTCCGAGATCGAATTCATGGCCGAGAACGAGATCATTCAAATCGTGCCTACGTTCAACCACGCCAGCCATGTGCACCTGATTTGCGGCTCGTACGGCCCGTTCCGCGCGGGACTGCCGCTCAACGTGCCCATCTGGGTGGCGATCAACTTGCGCCAGAAGAAGACGTGCCGTATTCTGGCGCCCGACTGGATGGCCGTCGACAAGCTGAACGAGAGGATCGAAGAAGAAAAAGCGTCCAAGTGCGTTAACTCATATACGTACACAGTGCGCAGCAAACCTTTCGCTTCACGCTGCGCGGAGCATTATAATTTCTCTTCTTTTAGGTTTTTCACGCCGTTGCCGACCAACTATTACCTGGAAATCACCCAAATGCTATTAGATGTGGCCAGCGAAGACATCCCGCAGGGTAACGAAATCAAAACGGCGGTCAAAGTGAGACACCATTTTTAATTGAGTTTTTTTTATAATGTTCTTGGACTGTTTACGTATTATAATGTACTAGTGGTCAGGTGGCTGCTATGTTTTTATCGTGGACTGATTTATACCTATTTACGTATTCTTTCATCTCTAGTTTGTTTAAGCACTGAAATGTGTCAATGTTGTTGATTATCTAAGTTCAACAATAAATTACATCTCTCAATCGTTGTATTAATATTAATTAGAGTATATATGACCTTTTCTAATCAGCGATCTGTTACAATAACAACCGTAGTGAATAGTAAGACCAAAACTTTGTTATAAAATGTATAACTTTTTGTAGGATGACATTGGAGCATCAAAGCAGATCCTGTAGTTTAAATTAAAAGTCTTGATATAACAACCTAATTAGGACATATTGAATGAATCATATTTGTACCTTTAAAATATACTGTCTACATTTTGATATTGCAATTTTAATGTTTTATTAATACATTTTTTACCAGTCTAAAAATTTTAGTTGAAAATAAGTATTTTAAAATTAATATGAAACATTATTAGGTATTCGTTAGGTACCTAACGATAATATCTTTAATGCTCTTTAAATTAAATTTTAAAAAATGATCCCAAATTTTTTCTTAAAATCAAAGGAAGTAATAAGTACTTAATAACTTTATTCAAACATGTTTATATGTATTTGCTAGTTATAATTGCTTATTTTCTAAAATGGACAATTTCTTAGCATTAACCATTTTTATGTGTTAAAATTAAATATTAAATTATAAAATCATATTTATTTATTCATTACTAATTACAATTATTGCAATATATGTTATTAATAGGATTTGTGGGATTTAAGAATAGCTAAATTAAGATCTTCTGTGGATTTATTCATTAAAGAAGGACGTGTCCAGGCTTCTTTAAACCATTTGACACCAATGGAAATTAATTCTGTAAGACCAGTGTTTCCAGATACCTTAGATGCTTTAATGATACTTCATGAAGTAAGATATATATTTCTGTATTTCACGTTTAGTTATAAATTAAATTACATAATTAATAATGATGTTTTAAAAATGTTCTAAATTATATTAATTTTTCCTTTTAGCATATAAGCTCAAACGATGATAGAGATGATAACAGTCAAACTTCAACGGCAACTCCCAGTTCAGCTTCTTTTTCGTTATCTATGTAACTGTTTCGATCATCTTTTCCTGTATTGTAGGGTCAAAATTAGATATATATTTTTTTACACCAGAGTTAAATCAAATAATTATTTTTTTGTATGGAAATTTATTTCCAGTGATACTAGCCTATTAATTCTTTTTTTTTTAATTTTAAGATATGTAAAAATATTTTTTACTATATTTGTAATCTAAACATTTCTATTATAGATAATTTTATATTAATGAGAATTGTGATTAGCATTTTAACAAAATCAATGTAAATATTATATAATTAGTTTTAAACAATAGTATTATGATTGATTTTATCATTAATGATTATATTCACCATGATATTATGTTAAATGCATAATTCTTATCCAGAATTGCCCACATCATTTAAAGTTTGTTTAAATGTGTATTTGGTGTAGACACCAATTATTTATTTATTATTGAAGCTGGAAAATAATTAAACATAAAAGAAAAAAACAATTGCAGTAAAATAATATTCTTTAATTGTAATAATATACCCAACTTATTTTTGTTGAGCACAATATTAATACATTAAAATTTTAAAATTATATCACATAAGTGTATTCTATGAAGGTATAATATTTATTTTAATATTGTGTATTTCAGTCATCTTACAATTAGGTTGGGAAAATATGAATAAAAAAGTTTATATTTTTAGTATAATATCCATTGCGTTTTTTATAAAAAAAAATATCCATTATGATTTTTAGATTTAATTACACATGTGAACTGTTTTGGTTGCATTGTATAATTTTTAAGTATTAAATCGTACTGAAAAAGTATAATATGTATGAAATAATTTTTATTTTTTATTTTATAAATATCTTATGTTTTTTTCTATTGTCTGTAGTAAATTGAAATAAATTATTTTTGTACAGCTAAATTTTTTTTAAACCATTATTTTTTAAGTAGTGTGTACAATATGTTTAATTCAATTGTTATTTAATGTACACAAAATAAATAAATTTTTTTTCGCAAAAGTATTTACAATTTAGAAGAAAAGAAAAATATTTGTTTGTTTTCGGTATTAACTAGTGTTAAGCGACCTAAATATCATCTAACAATTGAATGAAATTATTACAACGACGACGAAAGACATTGTCCAACGATTTTTCTGAGACCTGAGTGTTGGAACGTATTCATTGAAACAATTATTTAAAAAACGGAAAACACGTGTAACTCTGTTGAGAAATGACGTAAAAATAAAAGACAAATAGGAACGGCGTGAAAACCGAATCGGACGGTGTGTACGATCATTGGTTAAGCGAGATGAGTATAAGTTTTTGTTTTTCCTTTGACAAATGTGAGTTTTATCGACCGGAATAGGAATCTCGACGATATCGTCCTCGCACACGTCTCGATTCATAGCGATTAGACCGTCGGTGCGTGACGCTCGTACAACAACAACAACGTTTTGGTCGCGTTCAGTTGTCCGAGAACGGTGCGGCGTTGGTCGGCGGGAGTATACGAACGTGGAGTACATGACGTAGGCTTCGGAAAAATCAAAAAAAAAAATCACCTACACTAAACTACAATGAAATGCGTACACAACGGTGTATTACGCGTACATTTATCGTTTCAGTCTTGTGGAAGAAAACGCGCACCCGTTAGCACCGCGAACGCGCGTACGGGGGCGGTAGGCGCGCGCTAGACGGCCGTAACGTTTGCCGCGGCCGGACCGTCCGGCTTGAGAGCGGCCGCGGCGTTTTGCCCGGAGCCGCCGCTCTGCTGCTGTTCGACGTCCGCCGCGTCCGTCACCGTGCTGGTCAGCTGTTTGCGGATGTCGCGAATGCTCTTCCGGATGGCCCGGGCCAGCGTGGCGGTCGGCTGCTGTTGTGCCGACGAGGCGTCCGGCCCGGGATCCGCCGCCGTGGACGCTTTGTCCCACTCGTCCGGCGGCATCGTAATGGTGCACGCGTCCGCCGTCCGGTGGCACCGCTCCGCCGCGGCCGTCGTCAACAACCTCTGCGGGTCCAACTTGATCGCGTCGTCGTAACTGGGCGGCGGCACGTCCATCACCGACGCGTAATCCGGCGGTTTCTCGTCCAACCGCACCGGCGGGTCCAGTGATATCACGTGGATGTGATCGATCGACTCCTGCGAACAGCGCCGGATCAGATTAATCGTGTTCGGCGCTTAGCCGCTAATCAATTTAATAGGTGTATGTATGTTACCGGCAATATGGATAATTCGGGTGTTTTGCAAAACGCCTTGGCGTTTGCCTAATTGCCGACCCATTTTAGGCAATGTAAATAAAACTTATGATTTTCAATATTATTTTACTTGTAACTTAGGTATTTTATAAAATACCTAGGCATTATGTATAATGCCAATCGTGGAGTAGGCAATATGAAGAAAACAAAATTGGCCATTGCCTATTACCAACGACTTTACTTAAATGCTAATTTTTTTTTTTAGGCAAAGTACCAAACATTTTATTATATGTTGCATTACATTAAAATTCTTATAATTATTATACATTATTACTCGTATTACAGACAAAATTTAATTTTTATCTATTGTTATATTATTACTTTTACATAAATAATTTACTTAAACTACTATTTACTTATTATAACATGTTGTAGAAAAGTGACATTTTGAAGTGCACGAAATGTTATCTTTAAGGCTAATACACTTTTTATTTTGACACGGATTTACAAACACATTTTAAAAATTCTTGGCCAATTCTTGTGGATTGAATTTTTATCAACTCATTATACTGTACATCAGATAAAAAACTAGTATTAGTGGCCAAATATTTAAAAAAAAAATTTGTAATTTGTCATAAAAATTTGACTTCATATAAATCGTATGCATAGTTGCAACATCGACGAGAAAAATTACGATATTGTAATAAAATTATTAATACGTTCAATATTGTATATCATTATAGTAGTAAAAGAATGTTAATCTTTATTGCGTTAAATCGTGAACGCACATTTATGATAAACGATAAGTAAAGTCGTTGGTAATAGGCGATGCCCAATTTTGTTTGTTTTCTTCATATTGCCTACTCCACGATTAGCATTATACATAATATCTAGGCAAAGCTCATGTATGTATATTACCGAGTGATTTTTGGCATTTTATATAATGTCTAGGCATTTTGCAAAATACCGAATTATCCATATTGCCGGTAACATATATATAGTATACCCATTGCAAAAATTCACAATAGATAATTTATTTATATGCATAGTAAAGAGTATACGTGCAATCGAATTAATACATAAACACATTTTAACAAATCAATAAATGAGTATAATATCGAAAATTGAATGACATAGGTATCGAAATGACAGTGAGTGTCTATTAAAATATATTACGATAGACCAGTGGTTCTCAACCAGTGTGCCGCGGCACACTGCTGTGCCGCGGGATCGACTAGGTGTGCCGTGAAAAATGTCTGATATTTGAAAATACCGACTGATGAAACTATGACAGTTAAATGTCAATTCATTTTGCAGATACATATGTAGGTAAACTGTATGGTTTTAACCCAACTGGATATCTTAGCGTTTAGCCAAAATTGTTGTTGTTGTCAAGTGCATGAGTGTGCCGCGAAAACTTGTGATGTATAATGGTGTGCCGTGAACAAAAAAAGGTTGAGGACCACTGCAATAGACTATGTAAGAGAGGGTGCAATTATTACATAAAATCATTTTACAGTGCTTCCTTCCAGACAATATTAGCTAGTATAAGTAATAATATTAGTATTGTTTGTGAATTGTTTGTTGTTATACCACTGGGTAAGAGCCAATGAGAATGCAGTATTTGGAAAAAATTGAAATTAAAGTTGATTGTGCATACATAACTTTCCTCAAACTCAACGACTTTAAGCAGTTAATGGCTCATAAGGAAGAGTATGATCCACTGAGTGTTCTGAGAGTAAAACGATCAAGATCCATTCATTAGAAGAGAAGCTGTGAGAATTCGAATTGCTTTAGTGCTTTGTGTTCCACAAAAAATGTACAGGTAAGAATCGCATTGATGGGAGTTGAGTTAAGTTCAATGATTGATGACATATCTGTGTCTAAATACCTTTCATTTACAAAAAAAAACAAACGAAGGAAATCGGTCGGATAGAACGGCCAGACTTTAGTTTTCATACATTTTTTTAATATATAAGATTTATCATGTTCGCTGAATTCGTGAAACTGCCGGTTTCTTGAATTATTCGGGCCTTTTGCAATCGAATGCATGGACTAAGCCACACATTTAATGTTATATCGTTTTAGAATTTTAATAATTAATTTTTTTTTCTTTTAAAATTGTCCGAGTTAATAAGTAAGCTCATAAACGGCGAAGAATCACTCCGCTAATATTTTATTTGAGATTTTATGACTGCCAGGTGATATCGAAATAATTAAATTATTAATTTTTTGCTCATCAAATAATTATTTAGTTATATTTATGTGTTAAAAAATAAACAATTTGATTAATCTAAGGATCGGCTGATTTCATGCATTTGTTAATTTTTCTATAGATTTCATGAAATCAGACATTTCAGGAATCCAGCGTAACATTATATATATGCACCACATTTTATATACTGTGTAGATATAATGGCGTTATGTCGGTTCTGGATTTATAGAGGATGGACAATATTTGAGCATAAATAAATCTTATTCCAAAATTTAACCTACAGATGTTTCGATTTAGTTATGAATTCCGATATTATATCTTATCACTAATTTTAACAAATTGAATGACAAAGTGAACAGATATGCAAAAATATGCGGATTCGTGTAGATATTTATAACCATTCATAACGATTCCCCGAGATTTTAAATGCAGCGTTGCCGTAACAACTGTTTATAACATGCAGACGATACAGATGTTTTGATTTGTATAGATACCTAGTAGTTTATATAGGGTAGTAATAATAATTTAAAAAAAATAAAATAAAAATGTTTATTCAATTATTTTGGTGTATACAAGTTGCAGTCAAAATATAAAAATTCGTACTAGTTTCGATCACACAACAAAAAGGTTACATGCTAGTTACTATCACATTAATATGTATTCAATTTAGAATTTTTTTATTAATTTTACATAAAGTTATAACATTAACCTTCCTATTTATTAGACTTAGGACTGTCTACACTTTTATTTATTATATAGGAATAGTTAAAAATGTAGGGTTTATTTAGATAAAATAATAGTAACTATATTTCAATCCTCTACTGCAGCGATTCTCAAACTGTGTTCCGTGGAACTCTAGGGTTCCACGGAAGAAGTCTAGGGGGCTCCGTGGGCATACATTAATTATTTAAATATTTAAATATTATTAAATTTCTTAGTTATTGAGAAAAAAACACTGGTAACCTGAATTGCGCAACCAGTTATACGTCTTAGTGACACCAATTTTTTTTACAACTAAGACTTCTGATAAAATTTGGTTATTATGACTTCAAAACTTCGCTGGTATTTTCATAAAATTAAATGAAGTAAATTTATCAATACAAATTAAAATGACCAAAGTTTTCATAGCAAATGACAAAATCCGAACTTTAAAAAAAAATAAAATTTTGAACTGTGTGTTTTTCTCGACATGAAATATTAATAATTATTGTTGTCTTGAATATAAATTCCTGATATTCGGGGCTCCGTACATTTTTTTGAAAACATAAGGGCTCCGCGGACAAAAAAAGTTTGAGGACCACTGCTTTACAGTTGATATTAGCAGTTAAATATTGATACCATAAAATTACTATTTGTAACCGACAATTGGGATTTGGGAATAACATTGATTCTACGCGTGGAGTTATATCTTGCAATTAAGATTTTAGATAATAACTTAAAGGCTTAATTTTTATGAATATCAAAAGTATGTTACAATAAGATATGCCACTATAGTATGTTTAATAAACTTGTTGTATATCAGCTTAATTAGTCCTCTACCACACTTTATTTTCACTTTTTACTTTTTAATTTAACATTTTAAAACTATATAATATTATAATATGACCGACATGACTGAAACTCAGACGTACACTTAAAATGATATGGCCATAACTCGAATGTACCCTTAAAATGACGTGATCCCAACTGTTAGGTATGTTACTTATCTCAAAAATCACCACCGATCGTAACTCGGATACAGCCTAATTATTTTATCTTATTGCAAATGATATTAAAATACATTGAAGTTTATTTGTTTATTGAAACAATATATTTTAACTATAAAAAAAAGAACACAAAACCTAAATTTATTTAATTTATTTTTTTAAAAACTTTTTATGAGCATTTTTTAGTTATTATTTTGATTGTGATTCAGATCAGTTTCTGATCAGTTATTGTGTTTTTTTTTTTATGGTTAAAATATGTTATTTCAATAAACAAATAAAGTTTCATAATTAAATATTGAAATTTTCAATATCGTTTGCAATAAAATAAAATAATAAAATACGACAGTAAAACATGTAACTTATAAGTATTGATTAATTTGATAATGTTAAAAAATTAATAGATTTGAGTTTGTAAAAGCTCTATCATTTAAATTTTTACTAATTTAATTTATTTATTTACCATATACCTGTATTCTAATTTTCAATTAATAATTATATATATATATATATTAGAATATACCATATATTAGAAACTTTAAAAAAAAAAAAAATCATACTTTTAATTTATAGGTAGGTAACTGACAATCCGTAAAAAAAGTCTGTACAATTTTTTTTTTTGTATGGACTCAACTAGAGTAGTAAGTATCGTAGAACCCAACTACTATATGAAAAACCATGTACTATCTGAAAAACACTGGAACTTAATTATGGTAGACTTAATAAGAGTCTTCGAGATCCATCTAGTAAACACCGAAGAATTTAGATAGTTCACCATTTATGATTGTAATACTAAGATTATATAAAAAGATCATGTATTATATGTTATGTATTTTTATTAAATTTGTATAATTTTCACTAGAAATGTGTGTACGCGTGATAATTAATCCAGGTGTTGAAAAATGCATACTCAGAACTGTCACACGAGAAAAATTTAAAAAAAAAAACGTTATACGCCTGCTATGCACTAATGAACCACAACTAAGTTAAGTTTAACTTAATGTGATTTAACCGAAAACTATAAAA